TCAAGTTGGAGAAAAGATGAAAGAAGCAAATAATAATTGATGTTACATATTTAGAGGGAATGCTGTATGGATTGGATTTTATATTCCTTCCCCGCCAAAAACAAAACAAAAACACTGCAGTGTTGAAGGCAGAGAGGTTGTAAATCCATGCTTTCTCACCTCCTTCTAGAATCATAGAATCCCTACATTGGGGAAATAGGCCATTCAGCCCATTGAGTTCACGCTGGCCCTCCTCCCCTATTCCTGTAACCCTGCATTTCCCATGGCTAATCCACCTAGCCTGCACTATGGGGCAATAAAGCATAGCCAATCCACCTAGCCTGCACATCTCTGGTCCATGGGAGGAAACCGGAGCAACTGGAGGAAATCCACCCAGACACGGGGAGAATGTGCAAACCCCACAGAGTGACCCAGGGCTGGAATCAGACCCAGATCCCTGGTGCTGTAAGGCAGCAGTGCTAACTACTGAGCCACCATGCCATCCCACCAGCTAACCCTCACCAACTCACCCTACCCCACTCCATCACCACTGGAGCTGTATGAGGCCCTCAAATGGCTAACTGGGAATTTGAAAGGACCGTCCCATTCATGCCCAATGGTCTGGGCGAGGTACACTGCAGGTGGGTAGCCTGATGGCTTCAGTTGGTATTGGGTAAGATGGGCAGATTCCTTTGTGAATCCTGTGGACTCATTAAAGGTCCCTCATTTCCCTTTACAGTGCCTGCTAGCCTAGTTCTTGTGGAGGGAGGGAGAGAGAGAGACAGAGAGAGACAGCATGCAAGCCTTTCAGATCCTGATATTATGAATCCATTTTCTTCTTCCCTCTCCGCACTGCCAAGAAAGCTACTAAAATATGGTTTGTTTGCATATTATCTAGTCTGGTTCCATTGTCATCCCAAGCTGAATATTCTGCAGGAATAATCTGTTGCTGGGCCCTGGAATCCCTCCCTAAGGGCATTATGGGTCAATCTACATCAAATAGACTGCAGCAGTTCAAGAAGGCAGCTCACCACCAGCTTCTCAAGGGGCAGTTAGGGACGGGCAATAAATGCTGGCACAGCCAAGAACCCCCACATCTCACAAATGAATAAGATAAAAGGCAACCTTGGTGCTGACTTAGCTGTCTGCCTTCACATTCTTTGGATGAAATGATAATTTCAATGCAGCTGATTGAGTCAGTTCTGTGTGGTTTCCCTCGACTAAATCCATGGTCAGGGGATCGCAGCAGCCATTTTAAATTGCAGATTGTCAACTGTGAATTTTCCAGTGCTTGGTATTGGATACTTCTAACTGCTGTTGCTATATTGCCACCCAAGGTTTGGAATGATGGATGTACATAGAAGGGATCTTTATTTCATAGTGCAGCCTTCCTTTTATCTTGGTTTGTCACAGTCCCCTTAGTGCTGATTTGATTGGTGCTCTTTATCTGCTTTACTCTACCAGTTATATGGATGGTAGCGTGGTGAAGTCATTCCTCCTCTTTATTCACACAGCGCACACGACTACAGTCTAGTATACAGCTTTGCTTCTATCTCAGTCTCCATCTCAATCTGACTGCTTAGCTTATGTCATGATTATATTATCTGTTACATGACTGACTAATTTAAAATAATTTATTACTCCAAAGACTCTGTGAGACAGCGAGGCTGCTGAGCCAGAGCTCATCTGCTCCGACTGCTTTTGTTTCTTCTTTTCTCGCTGTTTTCTAAGTTGACTTTTAGTTTTTTTTCTCTCTACTTACCTTCTGAAGGGAGCTCGGTCTTGGAGGCAGCAGCACTGTGGGGTCAGGTGGGGGTCCAGAGCGGCATCAGGGTGGGACTCTGGTGGTCTGGCAGTTGGCACAAGATAGAAGGGCGGAGGCATGGGGATAGGAGGATCAAGCCCAGTGCATGAGAGAGATCGAGCCCAGCATGGGAGAGAGATCGAACCCCCGTTGGGAAAGCCCAGAGTGTTGTTAAAGAAAGGCTGTAATTTGGAACTTTTAACTTTATTTCTTATTTACTACTTTGTACTGACAAGAACTGGAATTTTGAGCTTTTAACTATTTCTTTATTTTTCTATTCTTTACCTAAGATTTTGTATCTAGGTACCTTATACCTAAGATTGTGTTGTGAATGGCAATATTGTACATGTTTCACTGTATTCCTGCATCCCTGAACTTGAGTACACGTGACAATAAAACATAATACAAATTCAAATTCATAGGCAGGACCTTAACAGTCCCCATGGAGGACTGAGTACTTGCAGTAGGAAGGAAGTATCCATCTGATTTCCATCACTGAGGCATTGAGAATGCACACAGAGTGATTTTTTTTATGCCTATATGGGATCCAGCTGTCTCTATCTCGGCCAGGATTTGTTGTCCACACCTGATTGCCCTTGAGAAGGTGGTGGTGAACTAACTTCTTGAATTGCTACAATTCTTGGGTGTAGGAATGCCCAGAGTGTTGTTAAGGAAGGAGTTTTAGAATTTTGATCCAGTGACAATGAAGGACAAACAGTATAGTTCCAAGCCAGGGTGTGTATGACATTGGAGGGAAACTTGCAAGTGGTGGTATTCCCATGTATCTGCTGCACTTATCTTTCTGAGGCTTTGAGTGTGAAAGGTGTTGGGAGAGGGACATTGGCGAACTACCACAGTGCATTTGTAAATGGTACACAATGTTACCACGGTTCTTTGGTGACGGAGGGAGTCAGCGTAGGAGGTTGTACTGTGGTGCCAATCAAGCAGGCAGCTTTGCCCTGGATGGTGCAAAGCTTCTTATGCATTATTGGAGCTGCACTAATCCAGGCCATCACACTTCTGACTTGTGCCTTGTAGATTGTGTTAGATTGAAGGGTAAGGCTGGTAAGGGTAGGGAATATTAGACGAATAAAGATATTGAGGTAGTGGTCAAGAATAAAAAAGACTCATATATTAGATATTGCCAACTGGGATCAAATGAATTCCTTAAAGAATATAAAGTGTGTAGGAGAACAGAGAGACCTAGGGGTTCAGGTACATTATTCTTTGAAATTTGTGTAATATGTAGACAGGGTGGTTAAGAAGGCAGTTAGCACGTTTGCCTTCATTGCTTAGACTTTTGAGTGGAGGAGTTGGGATGTCATGTTGAAGTTGTATAGGATGTTGGTGAGGCCTCTTCTGGACTACTGTGTGCAGTTCTGATTGCCCTGCTATAGGAAGGACATTATTAAATTGAAGAGGATTCAGAAAAGGTTTACCAGGATGTTGCTCGGAATGGAGTGTTTGAGTTATAAAAATAGGCTGGATAGGCTGGGACTCTTTTCACTGGAGTGCCGCTGGTTGAGGCATGAATCCCTACAATTAGCATTCTAGGGTTTATCATTGACCAGAAACTGAAATGGACTAGCCACATGAAGACTGTTGAAGAGTCACCAGACTCGACACGCTACCACTGCTTTTCTCTCCTAGATGATACCAAACCTGCTGAGCTTCTCCAGCAATTTCTGCTTTCATTTCTATGGCTGCAAGAGCAGGTCAGAAGTAGGAATTCTACAGTGAGTTTAAAAAAAAGAGTGAATTCAAATATTACGGCTATACAAACAGATAGACATTTTTTGGATATTTGAGCCATTATCTGAAAGTAGTTAATATTTTCCATTTTCATCTCAGTTACAACACTGCAACCAGTTCTGTTCTGCATTTGTTGCTGAAGATTAAAATTTAGATCACGGCTATTAATTCACTATTTTTGACACAGCTCAAGTACAGGAACGAGGATGTCTTGCTGCAATTATACAGGGCATTGGTAAGGCCATGCCTGGAATTTTGTGTGCAGTTTTGGTCTCCTTATCCGAGGAAGGATGCTCTTGCTACAGACAGAGTGCAGCAAAGGTTTACCACATTGATTCCTGGGAAGGCAGGACTAATGTCTGAGGAGAAGTTGAGTTGATTAGGATTGTATTTCCTGGAGTTTAGAAGAATGAGCCAGATCTCATAGAAATTTATAAAATTTGACCAGGACTAGACAAGTTAGATACAGGAAGGATGTTGGGGCAGTCCAGAACCAGGGGTTATAATTTAAAGATAAGGGGTAAACCTTTTACAATTGAGGAGAAATTTCTCCACTGGAGAGTAGTGAGCCTGTGGAATTCACTACCACAGAAAGTGGCTAAGGTCAAAACATTGTATGTTTTCATGAAGGAGGTGCATATAGCTCTTGTAGCTAAAGGGATTAAAGGACATTGGGAGAGGGTGGGATTAAGGTATTAAACTCAATGATCAGCCATGATCATATCGAATGGTGGAACAGGCTGGAGGGGGTCGAATAGCCTAATCCTGGTCCTATTTTCTAAGTTTCTATAGCTCCAACAGCTCTGAACCTTTGCATTTTTCCTGAAACTGCAGACCAAAATCACCATCCTCATTATTATCAGCCCTAATCCTTTACAGAGTTTCCCCTGTGAGAACTACTGCCAATAAACTATTATAATGAAGTAATTGATATAAAAAAACCCATAAAGTTACAATTAAAGATTTTACGGATTTTGTTTGTGAAACTCTACGTGACGTTAGCACCACTGTGGTGGTCGGGACCAATTGCTCAGCGAAGTAAGAAACTGCAGATAATCTGTTCGGAACAGGGATTAGCCAGTTTTCCCTCCACATATTTTTAAAGCTGCTGTCAATTTTTCCTTTTCACTTCAATATTTTTACTGAGAAGGCATGTGTCTGATGCAGTTCAGAGGTAATTAATGTCACCGATAGGGGCGGGTAACACACACAATTTAATGAAAGCAGTTCGAAAATAAATGAGACGGATTGTTCACTTCTCTAGTACCCAGTTTGCCCTAAGTGTGGCTTTTTTTTTCATTCACTTCAGAGCGAGCAAGTGGGCACAGCGGTGGCGCTGTTTGTATTGCAGCCAATGGACACATTCAGGAGGCGGGTCTGCCTTATTCTCAGAGTGGGATCAGAGTGGGATCAGATTGGGGCGGGGGGCAGGGGGAGAGAAAGGGCCAGGAAGGAATGGGGAGGAGATTGGCCAGTGAAAGCTGTCTGTGGATTGACCAGGTCCCTGGCCAACGGGCGAGATGCCCTGCCTTCATTGTCTGAAACCTGTCGCCAGGGTGTAATCGAGAGACGCAACGCCCCTGTGTTTGCTAGGAAACAGCAAGTAACAACTTAAGGCTGTGTGTGTGTGTGTGTGTGTTCGAGAGAGGGACAGCTCCTCGGCTGGCTCTAACTTCAACACCATCACATCATTAGCAGACCACAAAGTCTATCCTCTGCAAGTTACATTCCAGGAACATCAGCTATCCAGAAAGTTATCTCTTCTCCCCGTCTTGACAATTTCGTTTGCTACAATTCAAAAAAAAATTTGTTGCACCGAGACAGGAGGCTTTTTTTTTATTGATGGCGTCTCAGCAATCTCGGATTCAAACCTACCTGGAGAAAAACAAGATCGGTCCTCTGTTCGAGGTGAGACTGTTTTCGAATCAAATCTGAAATGGCACAAGAGAGAGCGGGGGAACAGAGCTGACAGCTGGAGTTTACTAGAGGTATCAAATTTAAAAAGGTAACAAAATAAGTGAAACCGGTGAGGACTGTTGGAGCTATTTCCATACAATATGTAGCAGATTCCCGAGGGAATGTTTATTAGGAAATAGTTGATGTGTTGAAATGAGGTGCATTGTTTCGCAAAGTGCTTTTTTGATGACACCTTACCACGGTACTGTGTTGACTGAAGTGTTTTTTTATTTATAGAACCTGGTTTGGAAACTGGTCATGGTTCTTTTGCGGGTTGTGCTATTTTAAAATAACTCATGGTTAATACATCGTGCAGCGGTTAAGTTTCTCTCTCTCTCCCCCAGGTTGTCATTGTTAAACTTCCTAAAGGAACTGATGCAAAATTCGCTATCACATAGTTCAGGTGTAAATTTGCTGTCTGGCCAGTGTTAGACACCTCAGCAGGACTGAGACTGGAATTCTGAGTAAAACCAATGGATCTCCTACCTGTCACTTCTTTTACAAGTTGCTATTATTTCTCGATAATCAACTATCTTTTCGACTCCCGTGTTTTTCATTTGTGCTTTAAAAAAAACCCTCAATGAATCATTTCTAAAACAAAATTGTAACCAACCTGATCAGTAATGTTATGTCACGCCTCCGGAGCAAGTGGGACTTGAATGTGGGCCTCCTGGTCTAGAGACACTACCATTGCACCACAAGCGCCCTTCATTTTTTGTTTTAAGCATGAATATAACAGGTAACGTGTGTACCTGAAGCCAGCACTAATACAGGGAACATCCCTTCAGTGAAGGCTATGGCTGTGTGTAAGCGCACACGCGTGTTTCAACAGCGGCACCGCTCTGGGCTAGCACACACCCTTAAAGGGACACTGCTGTCCTGAAATAACTCTGAACGGTTGTTTCTTTCGGCTCGCCATTGCACAACCTGTCAGAGTGGACTGTTCTCCAAAGCCGGATGCCATCCCAATGAAATGAAGATGCTTACTTTTGACAAAAGGTTTGCCAGACGCTTCTTAATGAAAACGACGTCCTTTAGTCTCCATGCATCCTACTGTATTCGAGAGTATTTTCAGAATAGCAGAATGTCGAGAAAAAAATTACAGCAGTGTGAACATGCTATTTTATCAATGAAAATGTTCAGACACGGTCATTTGTAGAAGCGATACAGCTAAACTGCCATTAAAAATATTGAATCCCACGGTGACCTTTTCCTCCTTGCTTATATTTTCTTTTCAGATTTTTTTTATTTCTCCAAGTTAATTTATATTAGTAACGAAGATAGGTTTTACTGAAAGTTAGTCAAGATCGTCCTTTTTCCGTGTTGAATCATTGAATCCCTCCAGTGTGGAAGCAGGCCATTCGGCCCTCGAGTCCACACCGACCCTCCAAAGAGCATCCCACCCCAGACCCACCCCATCCTTGTAATCTCACATTTCCCATGGTTAATCCACCTAGCCTGCACATCTCTGGACACTACGTGCAATTTAGCATGGCTAACCCAGCTAACCTGCACATCTTTGGAATGTGGGAAGAAACTGTAGCACCTGGAGGAAACCTACGCAGACACAGGGAGAATGTGCAAACTCCACACAGACATTCACCCCAAGGGTATAGTCGAACCAGGGTCCCTGGTGCTGTGAGGCAGCAGTGCAAACCACTTAGCCTGCATGCCACCCACAGCCTGAGCTTTTTTTAAGGAATAGGTTTTCATGTATTGTGGAAATGAAACAAAAAATGTGGGAGTTAGAGGTTGAAATTGTTAACTGTCTAATTTTCAGTTTTATAGCTTAATAAATTTGAATAGCAATTTTAGTTTTTGGGAGTTGAATGATTGCATAATTTTGGAAATGATGGCAACACAATATTATAAAATTGTATACAATTATGAGTGAAGAGAGTACAATAAAAATGTAGAAATGTTGCCCTCTGGAAAAGATTGAAATATGCTTTTCTTGCTCATGAATCAATGATCAATATTTTTATGTCTGCAGCAATGTTCTGTGCTTTATTACAAAGAGCCTTTGGTGTGCCTTCTACAATGGTGGGGTCACTGGTAAATAACATACCCACACACATGCACACTGTTAATCATAATCAATCATAATCACAGTAAAAATGAACTTCTAGTCAATGTGCAGTTGCACATTGTATCATAGTAATGTCATCTACAGTGATGGAGAAAAACAAGCAGTAAGATTAGTGGCTCCAACCCCGCCTCTTTGATCTGTCTGTCTCGTCTCCACCCATCTTCTCCTTTATCCATCTTTTATCCGCCTCCTCCTCTCTCCCTATTTATTTCAGAATCCCCTTCCTCTCCCCCATTTCTGAAGAAGGGTCTCGACCCGAAATGTCAACTTTCCTGCTCCTCTGATGCTACATGGCCTGCTGTGTTCATCCAGCTCTACACCTTGTTATCTCAGATTCGACAGTTCCTACTATCTTAGTGAAATTAGTAAATGCTGTATACTGGTCCAATTTGTCTTTGCCTCAAAATGGAACTGCAGTACATTCATTTTTCAAGTTTTACTGGTTTCCCTCTGCCTATCATCATGATGAATATATTTGGAACATTGCAAATATATATTCAGCACTGTAGAAATTTAAAGTTTTAAAGCAGTAAAGAAGAGTTTTTGGAGCGTGGCGAAAGCAGTCGTTTAACTTGTGAATTTTGTTTCATGAAATGTTATCTGAATGGTTATATTTCTAGTTATTTTAATGTAATGTTAATGTATTCATGTTTATCAATTAATATTATGAATGATAAACCAGATCAATGCAGATGGATAACACAAAGAACTGTGGATGCTGAAGATCTGAAACGAAAGCAGAAATTGGGGGCATTTACCTCTAAAGTAAGCTCTAAAGTAAATGCAATTCAAACAAGCTTGGAATTAATTACACTCACAAGAAAAAAATGAAGTTTCTGTGAAATAGTAATTTGCTTTGATTTATTGTAGTCACAT